CAGTGCAGACCTACGCGTTCATTGACGATGGATCCGAGCTAACCCTGATGGAGCAAGACTTAGCCAATGAACTAGGCGTCGAGGGGCCGAGAAAATCGCTGTGCCTTAAATGGACCGGCGGAACCCGTAGGGTGGAAAACGAGTCGCAGCAAGTGAATCTGAAAATATCCGGTGTGCGAAGCTCGAAGAAGTACGACCTGTCGGGAGTGTACACCATGTCTTCCCTTCAAATTCGTCCGCAAACGCTGCTGCTGGCCGAGATGCAGAACAAATATCCACACCTGGCTGGACTACCGCTCGAAGCGTACGAAGATATCAGTCCTCGAATCCTCATCGGTTTAAATCACGCCAAACTCGGACATGGAATCAAGAGCCGGGAGGGAAAGCAGAATGAGCCAATCGCAGTGAAGTCTCGCTTAGGCTGGATGGTGTACGGCAACTGTACCGGAAAGGAAGAGGCGGCCGGATATCTGAACTACCACAGTGTCCAAACCTGCGATTGCAATCGGGAGAATGATGATGATCTCCACAAAGCGATGAAATCGTACTTCGCGCTTGATAGCCTCGGGGTTGTCAAACCAAACAAGCTACTGCTGTCGCAGGAAGAACAGCGAGCTCGATCCCTGTTGGATTCTCTAACCCGCTTAGGAGATAACCGTTATGAATGTGGTCTTCTATGGAAGTACGAGAATGTCCGACTCCCGGACAGTAAAGCGATGGCCCTACGGCGGTGGAAGTGTCTGGAAAATCGGATGATAAAGGATCCAGCCTTAGCAGACGCGCTGAAGACGAAGATGCGGGAACATATCAGCAAGGGCTATGTTAGGAAGCTGACTGCTGAAGAACTCCACGAGCCACATCCACGGGTCTGGTACCTTCCGATATTCGTCGTAGAAAACCCTAACAAACCTGGAAAGATACGCATGGTATGGGATGCTGCAGCCAAGGTTCACGGCGTTTCTCTCAACTCGGTCCTTCTAAAGGGTCCCGATGAGCTGGCATCGCTTCTGTCCGTATTAATCCGCTTCAGAGAGTTCAAGGTGGCCGTATGTGGGGATATCAGAGAGATGTTCCATCAGATTCTGATGCGGTATATGGATCAACAGTGCCAACGCTTCTTCTGGTTAGAGGAAAACGAAATAGAACCCAGCTTGTACGTCGTTCAGGTAATGACCTTCGGAGCCTGCTGTTCACCGAGCATCGCGCAACACGTCAAGAACACTAATGCGAAGCGTTTTGAACAGGACCACCCGGAAGCAGTCGACGCCATCATCAAGCGACACTACGTCGATGACATGCTGGTAAGCACGGAAACGGAACAAGAAGCTGTGAAACTGGCACAAGAGGTGAAGAAAATTCATGAGCGTGGCGGATTCGAGATACGAAACTGGATTTCGAACTCCAAAAGGGTTCAGGCAACGCTTAAAGGTGAAGCAACGGAGGAGAAAAACCTGAACATCGGTGAGGAAGCTACAACGGAGAAGGTGCTAGGGATGTGGTGGAACACCATGACAGATCGTTACACTTACAAAGTATCATCCCGATACGACCAAGCCTTTTTAACCGGAAGCCGTCGACCAACAAAGCGAGAAGTTCTTCGAATGCTGATGATGGTCTACGATCCGTTGGGATTTATCTCACATCTGCTGATGTTCCTGAAGGTGCTGCTGCAGGAGATTTGGAGGACTGCAATCGGCTGGGATGATCCAATTCAAGATACGCAGTTCGAAAAATGGTTGACATGGCTGGCAGTGTTTCCACAGATGAGTTCCGTCGAGGTTCCCCGATGCTACCGATCCTTGACATCCGTTGAAGCAGAGATTGAGATGCATACGTTCGTCGACGCCAGTGAGAATGGGTTTGCAGCGGTCGTCTACCTTCGATTCACTGAGGGAGACACGATCGAATGTGCCTTGGCGGGAGCTAAAACTAGGGTAGCTCCACTGAAGTTCCTGTCAATCCCGCGATCTGAGCTCCAAGCGGCTCTTCTTGGTGCGCGACTTGCAGACACAATACTGTTGTCTCTGTCCATCAAGGTCTCGAAGCGGTTTTTCTGGACGGACTCCAAGGACGTGCTCTGCTGGTTAGGATCTGACCATCGGCGATACAGCCAATTTGTCGCCTTCCGGGTCAGCGAGATCCTAGAGTCGACGGAGATTAGTGAATGGCGGTGGGTTCCAACGAAGCTGAACGTGGCCGATGATGGAACAAAGTGGGCACGAACTCCAGATTTATCTGCAGACAGTCGCTGGTTCAGGGGGCCAGAATTCCTTTGGCGAGAACAACAGGAGTGGCCTGTCTCACCAGGCTTCGGAAAAACTACCGACGAAGAGCTGCGCCCACACTTGCTATTCCACGAATCAACAACAAAACCAGTTATCGATCCACAATACTTCTCTCGCTGGAGTCCACTCCTTCGTCGCACAACGTACGTCCTCCGGTACGTTCACAACCTGAAGCGGTCCACAAGAAAGGAACAACGTGTCAATGGGTCGCTGACTCAGCAGGAACTGGCTAGAGCTGAAAACTACTTGTTCCGCCTAGCACAGTCCGAAGGTTACGCGGACGAGATCGCCACGCTGGCAGCGGGATATCACCAAACGAGCACCAAAGGAAGGATCATTCGAAACAACCCACTCTTTCGTACCGCTTTCTTGGACGAAAACGGAGTTGCCCGATTCCGAGGTCGAACGAAGGCGTGCGCATTCGTCGATCGTGATGCTGCTGAACCCATTATTCTTCCTCGTCATCATCAAGTCACCCGACTAATCATAGCTGAGGCCCACGAGCGGTTCAACCACCAGAACCACGCAACGATTGTCAACGAGCTCCTGCAACGGTACCGCATTCCTCGGCTGAAAGCGACCTACAACGCTGTTCGGAAAGACTGTCAGCAGTGCAAGAATGACCTAGCGAAACCACGTCCTCCGATGATGGGCGATCTTCCGCAGTCACGCCTGGCTGCATTCAGTCGTCCTTTCACCTACATGGGGGTGGATTATTTTGGTCCAATATTAGTATCGGTGGGCCGACATTCTGAAAAACGGTGGGGGGTTCTCGCGACCTGTCTGACCACACGCGCCATCCACTTGCAGATCGCTCACACACTGACCACCGACTCCTGCGTAATGGCAATCCGAAACGTCATGGCTAGGAGAGGAGTTCCTGCTGTGATCTACAGCGACCGTGGGACCAACTTCCAGGCCACCAGCAAGGAACTAAAGGTGGCAATCGAGCTACTCGATCAAAACAGACTGGCCAGCGAATTCACTACGAGTCGTACCCAGTGGACATTTATTCCACCGGTTTCACCACACATGGGTGGAGCATGGGAAAGGCTGATCCGTAGCGTGAAGCAAAACCTTGCTAAGGTACAACCTAGCAGACTACCGACCGACGAAGTGTTGCAGAATGCGATGGTGGAGGTTGAAAACATCGTCAACTCTCGACCATTAACGGACCTTCCCGTAGACGATGACGAGTCACCCGTTTTGACACCCAACCACTTCCTGCTAGGGTCAGCAAACGGCCTCAGATCATGGGTTCCGTTCAACGATAATCCCATCCTACGGAGGAACTGCTGGATCCAGTCACAAGTTATGGCTGACAAGTTCTGGAAGCAGTGGGTACGAGACTATCTACCCTGTCTTACGCGAAGAACGAAGTGGTTCACTCCAGCGACTCCAATTACTGTCGGTGATACTGTGGTGATCGTTGACGCGAAGCTATCCAGAAACTGCTGGCCTAAGGGAAGAGTTATCGCTACGCATCAGGCTCCAGACGGACAGGTACGGTCGGCGACAGTACAAACAGCGTCTGGTGGAATATACGAGCGCCCGGCCATTTCATTGGCTGTGCTCGACGTAGGCGTTAGGACGAATACGCTACCAGATGATCCTTCGCGCATTCCGGGGGGAGTGTTGACTACGCCCCGTCGGTAAAGAGTGTCGGTGCCCCCATTCGACGCTGCATCACTGCGCGCCACACCTGGCGCTGGCGAAGGGATCGGCTGCGATACCAAGGATAAACAATACGTGAACGAAAAAAGAAGATAATCGTAAACAAATAGCCATCGCGGAAGGTGAAAGGTTTCAGATTAAATTAAATTCTATTGCTTCAAAAGTGAAATTAAAATACTTATACTAGTTTAATTCCTATGAGCTAAAGTGAATTTATTCTTAAACCTAATTTAACTTAGTGCCTCTCGATAAAGCTTAATCTAGGTGAGATTTTAGGTAATGAGAGATGAGTGAAAATTATATGTTATTCTACTTCGTATTCTACTTTGTCTGGACGAAAAGGTGGAGGAAAACCTATGAGAACAGTCCACGTTAATGGAGGAGGAGTAAAAAAAGAGGACAAGTAGGACATTAGAACAATTGTTGCGCGAGAAAACTACGAGACTAGAAACGCTAATAGTAAGGTAAAAATAACAAAAATGTTAACATTGTTTATAAGAGTTTCTTTCGCAGGAATTTTATAATTGTTTCCATCAATACGGAATAAATTCATAGAATTTGGTTTCAAGTTTCGCCGTCTTCGCAACATATTATATTAACAATATGATCCACTCTTTAACTTAGCTGGCGAACCGAATTTTTAGCGATGAAAGCACCTCTGTGGCCAAAAAGGCTACCAATATATTTGTTTATCGTCACGAGGGGTAAACCAAATGAAAATTTGTTTTATAATTAAAATGAATATATTTCAGCATTTTATTTTATTTCATGACAACAGTGACATGTCAGAAAAATTTTAAAGTAATATACACAATGTAATTAATGAAAATAATTTGACTCTTACTTTTGTAATAAGTGCTATATTCGCACCCCTCGATTGTAATTGAATGATTGTTGCTGACCTTTCTCAACGGTAGATGGTGCGTGAAGCAATATTTTGCGGGTCGCCATTGCAACATTTGGAAAAGGCATGAATGGATCATATTGTTAATATGATATATTTGGATACACGCAATCGTGCAAAATTATCACTCAACTTACCAAAGCTGTCATCGTACAGCAAAATGGCAGACTTCCAGTCGAATGCCTTCATGGCTTTCATATCCATAATCACCTGCGGAAGCTCCTCAAAAGAGCCGGTCGATGGAATCGTTTTCGGAATCTATGATTGCGTAATAATCAATTGGTTGGATGTTTTAGTCATTAAAATGAGCCATTTTCCAGCCCTTCCCAATTGCTGAAACTCACCATGATCGCATTGTTCTGCGGCAACCGTAAACAATCGGAATCCGTAATACTCATGATGACCAAGTTTTCCTTGACCGAATTCCCGTACACATCCCAGGTGTTTTCGCAATTTGAAACGGAAAGCACCGCTGTGAAATCTGTTGCGAATAAATGAATGCAATTTTCAAACCAAGGATTAAGCTATAAATACCTCTTCTCAGATTGATACTGGTCCAGGAAAAGTACTTCACAATGAGACCACCATTTCTAAAGTTGTCGCGTAGAATCCTTTCGAACAACCGTTTGGTGCCTTCCAGTATTTCCTCGTACTGATTATCCAGGTAGTCCCGATCCAAAATCACCGCTGCAAATAATTGCAATGCCATTAAAGCGTTCAAGTTGAAACTAGGTAAATTAATCGGACACACCAATCGATGCATTTGCGGAAATCAGCGAAGGAAAGTCATCCCCACGGGAGGAACCGGCTTTGCACAACACCAAAATCAGCACCAGTAATTTGAGTCTAGGCAGCATTTTCCTTTCGCACACAGTTTCACAACCGACACAACGTGGTGTAAGACGGAATCCGAGACTGCGACTTGGCATTTATACCCATCGACAAGCTCCGTTGCAGGTGTTCCCGGCAGCTCGAGCGTTTGGCATGCATTGGATGAAATAGTGATGAAAACATGAAACTTTCATGCAAAAGGGCACCTCAGCTCGCGTGAGTGAATATTTGATCACTTTCCGTAGATTGGTCGGGCAATCGGGAAACAGCTGATTATTTGTGGTGGTCTGTAATTGTATTTTGGGTGGTGAATGGGAAAAATTGTCAGATAGTATTATTCTAACACTCCCCCATTATTGGTCTTCTTTCAGGAATGCGCACACCGCCAATACAGCTGAGATAGACGATTCTGCCAAACTCCCATCGGCACCTCAACCAATGCCGCAACTATGTCCTCCAGCCGGAAATCCAGCGGGAACATCCACAAGATACGGGAGTTCGAACTCGACAAGGTCACCCTGTCGGATGAGTTCGACATCCTGCAGATCGTCGGCGAGGGATGGTTCGGCAAGATCCTCCTAGTCGAGCATCGTGCCACCGACACGGAGATGGTACTCAAGCTGCTGCCGAAACCGTTCGTATCGCTGAACGATTTCTACAAAGAATTCCACTTTAGCTTACACCTGGGCGCGCACAAGAACATCGTCACCACGTACGATGTGGCGTTTGAGACCGCCGGGTTCTACGTATTCACCCAGGAATATGCCCCCCTGGGTGAGTGCCGCATCTAAAGTCCAATAATCTACATTCGATAAGATTGTGACCTTCTTTTCAGGCGATTTGACGTCCAACGTGTCGGACAGCGGGATTGGCGAGTTGCACACCAAACGGGTCGCCCGGCAGTTGGCTTCTGCCATCGATTATTTGCATCAAAAGTGAGTGAATGTTCCGCTTAGGTTTGAGGGTAATTAACATCATTTGAGCAACGGCATTTAGAGAATGAAGCGTAGCGAAATTACGTTGTTAAAGTGAATTTGGGCAATAAAGCCGAGAGGGGGTATCATATTTACTTTGATATACCGAAGCCATGCGACGGGAAAGTGACGAGATTTCGGCAGACCGTAATTCACTTGCTGGAGCTAAAATTAAATCACCATTTACAAGTGTACGGCAGATGATGCTATCTGGGGCGGAAAGAATATTAATCATATTCCAATACGGTGTGGTACTCAGCTGGGAATTTTATGATGCGCAAAACGGTGGTTGGTGTGCTAGTTACTATTCATAATTTTAAACCGGTGAACCAGTGAAGTGGCACATTTGTTCCAATCCATATATTTTGATGAACTGGTGTGACTTTGTAGCTCCTTGTTCTACCATTTCATTAAATGTCGGTGACATGAACTATCTTTTCGGGGCCTCATAGCCTAGTCAGTAAAGGCACGGTATTACCAAGTCAGAGGCGGCGACTTCGATTCCTGGTCCGGTCGAGGGAATCTTTCGTGTTGGGAATTTTCTCGACTTCCCTGGGCATAGAGTATCATTGTGCTTGCCACACAATATACAAATTCATGCATTGGTATTGGCATCGAAAACTCTCAATTAATAACTAAAATTAAATAATTTAGTAAACACTAAGTTGAGAGCACGCAATAAGCTAATATGCACTAAGCAATTAGCTTGAAATGCGAAGAAGAAGAAGAAGAAGAAGAAGAAGAAGAAGAAGAAGAAGAAGAAGGAGAAGAATAAGAAGAAGAAGATAAACTATCTTAAACAAAATAAAAATAAATTAAGAAATTTTAGAAGACATTATTATGTAGGGCCATCACTGGTAATTTTATGTTTCGTTTTACCAACCCAATCTTGAAACAAGCAGTTAAATTTGTCAACAAAGAATAAAAGATTCTTAAGGACATAAATTTGGAGCGACAACAGTTTTTTTTTGCCGGCCACTAGTTCATCTCTAAAGAGGCGGGACAAAAGCTACTGCCGCTCATGGCAAGTCCGTCCCATAGCACAAATCAGCAAGCCGAGAAAAATGCGTTTTGAGATTGCATAGCACCATACCTTCTTATGTAATGGTTTGGTGTTTTGGTGTTTTTCCTTTTTTTTTCAGATTAAAGTTGGTGAGTTCATCCAGTATCATGAAAATATGAGTGATTTTCGGCCATTTTCATTGAAAAAATCAGTTTTGATTAAAACGCAAATAGGACCGACTTGCGATGAGCGGCAGAGCAGTGCTGTTATGGTAAAGTTGGAACTGGTTACTCACAGACTTTTCACAAATGTGCGCCCCTTTAAGGAGCGCGATCTTACTAAAACTAGCCTTGCTGAAGATCCCAATCCCTGGATCAAAACTTTGACGATTATAAAATTGTAACACTTTTTCTGAAGACTCTGAGGAAGAAACAAAGTGACTAATTATTCAAGACCATTACAACTTCCCCAAAAGTCCAGACTTTTCTGAAGTTTTCGGAGCTTCTGTAAAGAAACTGGCGCTGCTCCAAAGATCTCTGAACTTTAACAATCCCCCTTATTATACGAGTCACATGACTATCTGTCACCGTGCTAATCAAATGGAGAGTCACCTTACCGGTGAGAGAGAGTCACGTGCCTCGCAGAATAGGGGGAATGTTTTCTAGATCTGGATTTCTCACCAAATTTTAAAAGTTGCTGCAATATTCCTGAAGATAATTGAGCTGCCCTGAAGTTTTTTAATCTATCCTGAAACTCGAGCAGATTTTATGATCCTTTCTTAAAGCTCATGGAACTTCAATTAAAATCTCTTAACTTCCCTGAAATTTCCTAAATTTTCAAGAAGCTTCCGAATTTTCATTTACGTTTCCTAATTTTTCAAGTAGTTCTCGGAACCAGAGCGTAAAATTAATGACTGCTTAGGCTGAGTGTGAAAGCGCTGCGCTATTCATTTCATTGCTCTGTCCATCGGGGCCCCACAAAGTCACTCTCAATTGAAAATCGTCAAGCGACGATGAAGCTGTCAACCATCACTTTCAATTGAAAGTCATTCTGTCTTCTCTTCGAGCAGATCCCCGTCAACATCAACATAACCACTTTCGATCAGTTTTCATGCTGTTTGTTTTAACTTGACTAGTGCTCATTTCTTCTTTCAATGTCAAATGAACTTACTTTTGCATATAAGCGAAGCTGTATAATCCAAATTCACGCAGTTTTTATGACTTTTGTTGATTTAAGTGTATGCGCATAGATCTGTGAACGTGGATGTCAAATTTATCATTGTCGGTTGGTTTGTTTACCCATCAATAAAGGTATTTTTCAATCGGGATGACGTCTAGAAATCGAAAGTTGATATGCGACGCCATTTTGAAATCTAAGATGGTGGCTTCCAGTTTAAGAAAAAGTGGGAAATGCTGTCAAATACTTATCAATAAAGGTATTTTTGGAATCGGGATGATGTCTAGAGGATGACAATCGATGTCCGACGCCATTTAGAAATCCATCATGGCGGCATCCGATTTCAGATTAAGTGGGAAATACTGTCAAATACCCATCAATATAGGTATTTTTTAAATGGGGATGGCATCTAGAGGCCGGAAATCGATATCCGACGCCATTTTGAAATCTAATATGGCGGCTTCCTATCTCAGAGACAATGGGAACTGCTGGAATCGGGGTGACGTCTGGAGATTGGAAATAAATATCCGACGCCATTTTGAAATCCATGATGGTGGCTTGCGGTTTGAGAAAAAGTTGTAAATTCTATCAAATACCCAAACAAACGGTTTTTTTAGAATCAGGGTAACATCTAGAAGCCGGATATCGATATCCGGCGCCATTTTGTAATTCAAGACGGTGGCTTCCGATTTGCGGAAAAGTGTCAAATATCCTAAAATGTGGTTATTTTCAGAATGGAGATGAGACGTAGATACCGAAAATTGATGTCACGCCGTCTTTAAATCGAAAATGACGGCTTTGGTTCAGAAAAAAAAAACTGTGAAATACTGTCAAATACCGATCAATATGGGTTTTTTGAAATCGAGCTGACATCTCGAAGAAAGAAATCGATGTCCGACGCCACCTTGAAATTCAAAATGGTGGCTTCCGATTTCAGAAGAAGTGTCAAATAGCCTACAAAAGGCATCGAATATCGATTTTCAGCATCTACGCGTCGTCCTCGTTCCGAAAATGCCCAGCTCTTAGGGTATTTGACCCTTTTTTTTGAAACTCGATGGCCACCATATTGCATTCCAAAATGGCATCGGATATTGATTTTCGGTATCCACACGTTGTCTCCATTCCGGAAATACCCATATTGTAGGGTATTTGACACTTTCTGAACCCTGATGGCCGCCATATTGGATTCCAAAATGGCATCGGATATTGATTTTTGGCATCTACGCGTTGTCTCTGTTCCGAAAATACCCATATCTTAGGGTATTTGACGCTTCATAAAACCAATGGCCACTATCTTGAATTCCAAAATGGCGTCGGGTATCGATTTTCTGCATCTACGCGGCATCCCCGTTCTGCAAATACCCTATTGTAGGGTATTTCTCAGGGTATTTGACACCTTGAAATTCAAAATGGTGGCTTCCGATTTCAGAAGAAGTGTCAAATAGCCTACAAAAGGCATCGAATATTGGTTTTCTGCACCTTTGCGTCGTCCTCGTTCCGAAAATACCCATATTGTAGGGTATTTGAGACTTTCCCTGACCTCGATGGCTGCCATCTTGGACACCAGAATGGCCTCGTTAATTTAATTTTCGATTAATATAAAATAATATATTATTACGAATATAATCCCCATCCCTATCGGCAACCGATATTGTGCGGATACTATCCGGATACTATGTTTTGATGCCTGCGTCGTCGGGTAGGGACAAGTCGAATGAGCCACGAATTGAAGTGAAAGTGGAAAAAAAGAAGGAAGCAGTTTTCGAGTCATTCATTGCGTCAATTGAAATAAGTATTTGCTTCAAATGAAATGAACTGAAGCACTTGATGAACGAAACAAGTGATAGTCCAGTCATGTTTGAAAAGAGAAATGTTCATCGTGACTCGATAACAAGAAACACGATGACTTACACGAAAATGATATTGCTCTAAATGAAGCGATTCTGCGGAGAGTTCATTTTCTTTTCTTTGTTTCGAAAATGCAGAACCCTGCTGTCCATACCATTTGTACCAAACGGTTAACGACGAAGCAATGAAAGTCAGTCACTCACGAACAGGCGACTCACATCGCTTGCCTTCGCTCACACAGCATGTAATTGACGCATTTTTTCCATATAAAATGTACGCTCAGTCATTCAAAACAGGGATTGGGTACCATCACAGAAGAATAAACGTGCTGACTGAGCTACTAACTGAGTGCTCGGCTGTCAGTGACTCGTTTTCTTCTCAATAATTCGGACTCTCACGGGGCAGTGAATGATGAGACAGATGGCAGTTTATATTCATATGAAAATGTTTTGCGCACTGCTCGGAACTTCGCTACCTACAATTTTCCTGATATTCGTGGAACTTTCCTGAAGACCCTGCATGTTTACAGAAGTTTTCTGAATATTCCAGAAATTCTTGAAATATTCTGTAATTCTCGGAACTGTTTTTAAATATCCTGGAATTTATTAGTGGAACTGCTTTGAAGTTCTCAGATCTTTCTCGAAATACTTGAGCCATCCCTGATTTTTTTCCTTGATTTGTTTTCCGTCAATCTTGTTTTCCATACTGAGTACCAATGCTACCGACGCCAGGAAAGCAACTCCTACCCTGGATCCTACCTATTGACTCATCAACTCATGAACCGGGGACCAAAGGCTTTACTTCCTGGAATGTGTGATCAGAGATTTTATGCCTCAGAAAATCCCAGCGCGCCGACTGGGATTGAACCAAGGCCTTTTGGGATCATAGGCAATCACGCTTACCATTACACACCACCGGCTTCCCTGAAAATGCT